CTTCAATGGTAATAAAGTGCATTAGCACATTGTTGGAAAATAACTATGTCATCGAGTAAACCAACAAATGACAATCAAAAATACAAAAGACCAAAACAAAATACAAAGCAATCGATAGCAGATGATTGTGTATACAATCACACGGTGAAATTTATGCTATTTAAATTATAACAGATTAAAAATTGACAATATAATATTTTTTGGTACTTATAATAACTGCAGATTGTAAAATTAATTTGAAGGTTACAATAAAACATAAAAACGTGTTTCGTTAATAAATTTAACTAGGTAGGGGAATAAGTTAGGGTAAAAATTATGATTTGTCAGCTGATCGATCGTCCTTATTTATCTGGTCCGCCTGTTCTCGCTTTATAGATCTTTACCAGATAGCAGGAAAGTCAATTTCGTATTGGGAGTACGAGATTATTTCTGTTTGGTCGCTGCCCTTTGTAGTATTAAAGCCAATGGTGGTATCCGTGGTCGTTAGGTCTTTGTTGCTGGCGGTGTCTTTGTACTATTAGAGCCAATGCGGGCTTTTTTTTCGTTTTGACCAGTCTATTGTTCGTTTATTTATATTATATATATATTTTTTTTTAATACATGTGATATTTTTGTCTGTCATTATCATTTTTGTCACAATGTACAATAGTGTTGTCATTTTTTTGGCGAATATGATCCTAATAATAGCATTTATGATGACCTAGCTAATGACTCTCCATTGTTCGGAATTGATTAATTGTTGTTAATTGATTAATCTCTAAGTTTTTTTAAATGAAAAATTGTAAACCTAAAACAATAGGAATAAAAGATATAGCGGTGGTAATACAAAATGGAGAAACTATAAAAGCTAAAGCCACACCTCGAGTTACTCTAAGATTAACTTTCAATGAGGTTTCCATGGTTGGCTAATCCCTGTTTTCCAGCTGTTAGTATGTGCGAACTTTATATTTTTATGTATTATGGTTTATTCAATAGATATCAATCCGTTGTTTCTCGAGTTTGTAGTTTTTAAATTTTCTTATTTTTTCATCCTTTTCTATTCTCAATTAATCTATATTTTATTTATTGTTTTCTATTATGGTTTAATTATTTTATACATAATTAGCTGAACAATCTACCCAGTGTATGGTATTTAGTGACCGTTAATTTGCAGATCGTGAGATGCGGTCTGGTGTGGCGTAGGTTTAGAAAAACATTTTCTTTTTTGTGCCAATGTTTCGAACTTTATCGAGATCATCTTCAGGGACTGTGATTTATAAACATAGTTTAAATTTTACAAATACATGTAAGCTGTGAAAAAATGAATTTATACAATGATAGAAATTTTAGGGTCAATCAAAGTGTACTCACTCAAAATGTGTTTTCTGTTTAGATGTGTCATTATGGGCTTCGGTGGCCGCAACGGTTTAGGCGTTGACACGGCGCTCATCACTGTAAGGTAAAGGTCCCGGGTTCTAATCCAGCGGTCCGGCATTCGAACCCGGCACACTTAGAAATTCTTTTTCTAAAAACACCGGCACCCTGAGGGTTGATATGTCTGCTGTTGCGAACCCTCGTAAAAAAATCCATATTTTTTTTTTTAAAGATATGTCATAACTGTGTGTCGTGTTGAGAGTAACAGTGAGATTAGAGATTTTAATGTTTTATGTTTATATACGTTGGATTTTAAAGGGATGGGGAAGGAAGTCGGGATAGAAAGTCATTTTTATACGAGGAGTCGGCTTCTTTGAGGTGAAAGGAGCCGACAATGGTAAAAAATGGGTAATAGTTCGTCCTGATTTTGCAGGATTATATAGACGGGGATAATTAGGGAAAGGGACAAATTGGTGAAGAAGAATTAGTTTATGTAGAAATGTTTGAAGTGTAGAATGTAATGATTGTTTTATATGTTCTATTATTTGTTTTGTGTGATATTGTATGTTATTGATATTGAATTTGATTTATGATATTAGCATAGCTGCGGCCGATTTTAAATGTGTCTGTTCTGTAATTGATGCTGTGTTTATCTCTGTTGATGTAAACCATTTCTAATAAGTTACGTTTTTGTTTGTTTTGTTCTGTGTGCAATTTTTTGGATTGTTGAAATCCAAGTTGTGTTGGTGTTCAAAATGGTGGGTAACCCGTGCTGTAGGATTTTTTTTCTGGGTTTTTCATCATAGATGTGTTACTTTACCCTCTTGTCCAGATATTGGGATGTAATTCTGATGTAAGTTGCCGGACAATTTATATAATTGATTTAGTAAATTACATCAGACTTTTTGTTACTAGTGTGATATCTTTAATTTGCAAAAAGTAGTGTGAATAGTTTTATTGTTTTTGAAGGCTATTTTAAAGTTATCAGAAAAGAGAAATATGTTTAATTTATGTGATAGGCCGTGAATAAATGGAATGTATTTGTATATTAGTTTGTCTGTATTTGATAAAATTGATGTATTATTAGTGATAGTAGATGTTGTAATTGTTTGTGTTTAGAGTAGTGTTTGTTATGTAGGATATGTTTGTATATCTTTATGTTGTTATGGTGAAAAGATTCACAGCTCAGGGTAATAATTCTGTGAAGTAGCCCTTTGGCCGAGCTTATTACTGTATGAAGGGAATGGTGATGTAAAGTTGAGGTATCAATCTTGGTTTTTGATACCAATCTGTGATTAATGTGCCATCTGGTTGTTTTATTATGAGTGTATCTAAAAATGGTATTTTTGTTTGTTTTCGATTTCAGTGTAAATTGAAGGTGTGGGTGAAAGCTTTTAAATGTATCTAATGTAGTTTGCTATCAATATATCATCTTTGTATTTAGAGAGGAAGGATAACGTGAAAAGAAGTTGTGGTATAACTGTGTTTAATAGATTTGTTATATCTGCAAGTATCGGGCTTACGTTGCTACCCATGGCTATGCCAAATAGTTGTTTGTAAAAAATGATTGTTATATGTACAGCATCCGTTAATACATAATCTACCCAGTAATTAATAAGTTGTTTAGGATGTGTGTTTTATATGTATTCATGGATATAAGTATATTTATAAGTATGAATGCTCATGCATATATTTGAATGTATACATTTAAGAGTGCACATAGATCATATGTATATAAATTACGTACATGTGTACGGGGGACAACAATGATGTGAGAATGTGTTTGATTCTCTTATATTTTGCATAATGTCTGCCACCCTGTTTTGTCTGTCAGCCTCTTTTCTGCACTTTCCAATCTTCAGAGTATGCATTCTTACAAAAGGTTGACATAATAACCTACAGGCCAAAATACTGAAACACCTCCGAGACTGAACCAGCAAGACATTGCAGATCAGTACCTGGCAGACTTTAAAGTTTAACACATCTAACAATAATTGTGACTGTATGCTAGAAATAATCAACATATTGTTGGCATATGGTTTGGAAGGAAAATTGAGAACATTATGAATTTCAGGTGAGCTGTCAATGCTAATTTAATGCTTAATTAATCATATTCTTTATTCTTATTGGAAATATCCTTATTGTGTAAAAAGATAAATTGGTGCTAAGACACAAAGGAAGCAAAACTGGTAAGAGGAGTATAAGATGGGGATAGGGATGAAAGAGGCGGCCACAAGGCCTTTTGCATCTTGGCTTGAGTAGATCTATTGTGCTATTCTATTTTTGTTACTAACTGGCCAGCTTCAGGTTGTTAATAAGAGGAGTGTACACAAACCCAGAACCTATAATTGGGATAAAAAGATCAAATGTAAATCCCTCCATGGTCCACAAAAAAACAAATGAAAAAGTGAATGAATCCAGACGTGTCAAAAACACTAAATGGATTATTAAAGAACCCTCACCAATGCAAGCACATTGCTGCAGTTAAACAGGGTAAAACTCACAGGTCTGATTAGGTTTTATATGAATCTGGCATCTGAGTACACACAGCTTGTGTATTTTCAACAAATACCCCATTTGTAGTTTATTCGATGAGGGGGAGGGGGAGAAACTCTGACCAATATTATTTTTGAACGTAATACAATTGCTTAGTGAAGACATATCCATGGGTACCAAGAAGACCCAGGAAAAAAATTACACCACTAACCTAATTATTAAAAAAGAGTAAATTAAACTGAATTAAGAAAGCAGGAAAAGTACAATAAGTGGGGAATATCAAACACCGATTTCTTGGCATCCTAGTATGATCAATGATCATCATCATTTCATTATCATTATCATCATCATCATCCAATTGATTGGTTAAGTATTACATAATTTTTTTAAATCCTTGAACACCTCGGGCAATCCTAACTTTGACTGTACGGTTATTTGTCATAAATTACCATAAAAATGCTTACTCTTGTTTGTTAGATTGTACGTACATTGATGCAAACAAAAAATCTTTCTATTTTAATGGCTATTAAATGCATTACATAAGAAATAATGGTATTTCTACTTGTCAGTTTTATGTATAACATATGTTTTATGGTGTAATAAATAGTTTCATTTAAATATTTTACTCAAAAACTAGCTTACATTTTGAATACCTGTGTTTATGCTGTAAATAAATCAAAATAATATTTTTTAAATTTAATCATAACTGCTAGAAAGATGTAAAAATATTATAACAAAGAATATATTAATTATTGTTATAATGTATTATCTGTCTGTTTTTGTCCAATCAGCTGACATGTTTTTAATGTAGTATAAGTTGAAAAATTCATATGGAAAATTTTAGTAATATGTGAACAACGAAACATGTGACTTTTAATTTAACTCGACTCCCAAGTGGATTTTATCCAGGGAAATGTATTCCTAGAACTTTTCAGGAGTCGTGAGCAAATTTTTTTTACAAATTTCTATAGTATTTTTATATCTTTGTTTGAGCTTTTAAATATTTGCTACTTCTTACAATTTCAGCAATGTACAGTTTTTAATTAATAGGTGATAGCTGAAAACTATTATCAACTTTTTTTTTTTTTGTTTACTCAATATTAGACTGTCTAGTAAGGAAGAACCATGGAATGTTTATAAAAAGAAGACTCTTTAAATATACAAATGTAATTTTAATATTTTCTTTGTTAAAACTGTTCAATATAAGACAGTTTATAAGGTTACAGAGTAACTACAATTACACAATACAACAACAATTTTTATCACAACCTAAGTACATATCTAATTAAATATTAACTTATGTTATAATGGGAATGTTACAGTTTCGTTTTATCAAAATACTCTTACAAATCCTTGATTACTTTTACCAGAACCAATAAAATAATTGAGGTTTATAAATCAAATCCTTATCGGTTATATATGTTTTAAAGTATTATAAACAATATATTGGTAACTAATTCAACTGCAATGTCTTAATATTTTTTAAGTACATTTTTAAATGATGTATATAAGATATTGGATGTTACCTCGCTAGCTAGTCATTATTTTTGGTTCTTTGCATTGTGAGATTTGATAACATTATCTCTTTCTACTTTATTGTTTTGTTAGTAATCTACATTATAAAACAATGTCATTGTCAATTTTATATAACTATCGCTTTTTAAAAAAATAAATATGTACCCTATTTCAGTCTGTTTACAAAAATGTTCTGAGGGTACCCCACCATCATATAAAAATTTCTATCAACAATTCACAATTACTATCTATATTTGTCATAAAATCAGTAGAAATTTAACAATAATAGTAGTGTATGTTTTGTTAAAAAATGGAAGATCAAAACCACTCTTAATCACGTTTTTATATCTTAGTTTTCAAGCGATTAGAAAATGATCGGGGGCACAAACTTATTATATTAAATTTCAAATGAATTATAACAATCATATAAACGGAAAAACTAGGATTCATGTTAAAACATAAAAAAACAAAATATTTTCAGTAAGAAAGAAATCTTAAATTATCTTCCTGCACAAAACTGTGCGACCTCTTAAGCAATATTGTCAAAAAACAATGATCTATACACTATTTATACCAGTCTGTGACATGACTTACTAAACTAAATCTTTGGCATTTTTTGCTTAATAAATAATTAATGATTTATACATATGAGCTTTCTAACAATGAGGTAACACTGGGAAAAGAATTTTTTTCAGACTAATTTTTACTTTAACACACTCTTCCTTTCCTTTTACCTAGATAATTTTAAAAACTCACTTTATATATATTTTTTTTATTATCTCATGTATATTATTAAAATAGTTACTTAATTATGGAAATATATTTTTGAGTAGTACAACAATCACTAAACAGTCTCTATTAGACCTAGAGCGCAGTATTAAATATTTCAATAAGACTATTATTACTCTAGAATAATATTCTTTATTGTAATACTTTCATTTATAAGATTAATGTTTTTTTTAATATTAAAGTATAATAATAAAATATTTTATAATTCCATGGTGAGATTTTAAAACATTTCATTACTACAGTTATTTTGTATAAAAAAAGATATGCTTTTTTCCTGCACAATTTAAATTCCTCCAAATTAATTTGTAATTGTTATTTACAATTGTCAAAGTGATTTTGTAGGAGGTAAAAATGTTTAATAGTGTGCACCAGGTCTTTAAAGTTTTGTTGATAATATATGAAATGTTCTGTATTAAATTAGGCATACATTTTGATAATGTCATATTCAGATTAGAAAGTTATGATCAGATGTATTTAAATCAATTAGTGTATATAAAACATTTTAATGTGTTTAATTTTTCAGAGTAAATATTTAATTCAGTATAATAAATATAAATATCATTAAAAGTTGTACATCAACTATGTATAATAATTGGTAAGGAACAAATTCATTAACAATTTTACTTTGGCTTCATACTTATGTTTAACCCTTGATACTGTCTAGCCTAAAGGTTTATCAGTACTTTCGATAGAAGAAGTATGAAAAGATGTTACAAAAGTTGAACTATGATAGGATGAGATAGGCACATGTGCTCTGCACCCCTTATTGGAAGTCTGTCGATTGAATAAAACTTTATCATCTCAGGTATACTCATGAAAGGGTTACTAAACTGTCCTAAAATGAATTTCCCAGTTTCCTTGCATTTTTGTATTCTCATGTGCATAAAACCTCTAGCACTCCTAAAATAAACACAAAAAGATTATTAAAATATTAAGACAAGACAATATTAGACTTACTTTAAAGATAGAGAGTAGTCTTGTTTAGTGCTTTCACTGTTTCTAACAAGAAAACTTCCTTCTCTGTTCATTCTCAAAATGTTTTCAGCTTCCAATCTAGTAATCGCACCGTGGTACCATCTGAAAAAAATTATCGAGGTATTAGGATTTGAAAATATCATCTGAAAATATGATGATTATACCCCTGTTGCTCAAGAGGAAGTGAGGTATCAATTTGATCTGGTGGTCTGCATACAGGAAGATCGGGTAATCCAAATGACAGTTTCTTATCTCCCACGTCTTGTAGATCTAGGCTCAATGAAGGTCTCTTGATGCTGGCTAAAATTGCAATTGACTAAATTAAAAAACAAAACAAAAAAACAATGATCACTGGAAAAAAATACATATATTTATTCTTATGATTGTGTGTTAGTTGAATTTTTATGATATATTTAGTAAAAATACAATTTTGTATAATAAGGTTATATAAGAAGACCTTTATTTTGCCCCTAGGTTTAAAAAATTAAAAAAAAAAATTGCCTTTAAGGAACAATAAATAAATATTCAATTTCAATTCAGTTTGTTAAATTGATAATGTTACTATAACTTATTATTTTTGTAAATAACAATATTTACACTTTTGTGATTTAATATAAATATTTTTGAGATGTTACAAATTTTAAAGGAAGCTTAAACAAATTTTATGTAATTATTTTTTATCCTTACGATTTTTGCATTCTTGAAGGGTGTTGTTGGATTTCTGAGAACCTTCTAAATTGATGCTAAGAGCGGGTCGAAGTCGCCTTCTGAGCTTGGGCATGTCAAAAGGCAAATCTCCCAGATCGACAGAAGTAGCTGAACCTGAAGTGTCTTGGGCTTGCTCTTGAAGCATTCTTCGCCGTCTCAGCTTTGGCATGTCGAAAGGAAGGTCGCTGAGATCCGATGGGTTGATGTTACCTATTCTTGATTCAATTGAAATACCGCTGTCGCTCCCCTGGTGGGCTTCCTGTTCAGAGCATAGGTCAAGTTTAATTATATTTCTGTTTTGCGCGGTTCTACGTTTCTTTTGTATTTCACTAATCGGAGTCACCACTATTTCTTCTGGAGATGCTTTTTCAGAATTGTTGTTTTTATTATTTTCAGATGTTTCAGAGCAGGGTTCTTGAGAAGATTTGTCTGATATAGGTGAAAGGATATTGAATTTAGTTTGCTGGAAAACTCTAGTGCTTAGAGAATTTACAGTTGGATGGAATCCGGAACAGCTTCCTGTGGAATCAGAGCTATATGAACTGAGAGTGCTACTGTGACGGCTTTCACAACTTGAGGTGGATCTATTCCCTTCACTTGTACTGCTTCGAATTGATTCTAAGCTACCTCCACTGCTACTCGTCGCCATTGATTCTGTGCTTGAATATTTAATTCGTCTTGGGGGCCTTCCCTTAATCTCACGAATTTCTAGTCCTCTCATTTTGCTTTTTGAATTGCCTTGTTCACGGTCACAAAATCTACGTGTATCATCTTTATCGACAAAACAACTCCTTGGTCTGTGCTTTGTTGTTTTTATAGGGAGGCGTAAATCTTTTGTCCTGATCGACAAATCGGGCGAACTGTGTACTGGACCAATACAGATCCCTGAATGAAATTTTGAGGGTAGAGGTGCACTGGATGGGGGAGTAGGAGCAACAAAAGGTCTCACGTCCAAATGGAGTCGGTCGATTTCTTTTGACAACGATTCTGGCTCTACTGTGGCTAATGACCTGGGTCGCTTGTAATAAGGCTCCTCTCTGTGCTCATTCCTACATGCAACAATGATAGATTTATTGGTAACTTCATCGACATCCAGTTCATCATCGGATTTGCTTATTTTTGAATCAAAAGCGGTTTCATATTGATGTCTTCGCGACATTTCGTCAAGCCTGGGCGACATCCGGTCCTCAGATCTGTCAGAAGTGTGATTGTTACAGTAATAAGGGTTAGCCTGTGCTAGTCCGTTTTTATCTTCCCCTACATCTTCGTAAACTTCTGCTTCCTCCACCTCAGACAAACAATCTGAAATAAAAAATGAAAATATCACATACTTTTATAAATAATCTAAATAAATTGATCTATTACTAAACGTTATATCTTATTTTATAAAAAGCTTCACAGTGTTAAGGTTCAAACATCTTAATTTAGAATTATATGAACTTATTTAAATAAACTTTTACAAAAATAATTTTTATTAATATTGTGTTGTGCATAATATATCTAATAATTATAAATTTATTTTTTATGGTGAACTATATATAAAAAGGAAGGATTTGATACAAGATAAATTCCACTTAAATTAGGAAATGCACAATTTCCAATAATTTATTTTATTTTAATGGTTTTTTGAAAGGATTTCTTATGTTTAATGCTAATTTTGTAAAGAAATAGGGGAGACTTTAATGCTTGCTGTACGCTCGTAAATATGGCCGAAATTCGGAGGCAAGAAATTTAAAATCAAGACAACAATAATAATACTGGCTGTAATAAATCCAATGAGCCAGGGCCAATAATATGTAATGTGTTGTCCGAAAAATAATGCGTTTTCTTTCAATTACCCCACTATATAATAAACTTTACGTTTGTTGGATTATTATTTTGTAGGAATGTCAAAACTTCCTCTTCCAAACAAAAATGTTTGTTCACCTCAGTAGCATTTCGTTACTTGGGAATAATTCAGTCTTTAGTAAGATGTCAACGCGTGATTTTCGCATAATTTTGTTTTACGAGTTTAAACGCGGTCGGAAACGGCCAGAAACATTAATGAAGTCTGGGCCGATGGTATTGTCACTGAGAGCAACGTTCATTGATGGTTTAGAAAATTTCGAGAGAAAAACTTTACCCTTGACGACAAAGGTCTTGAAAAGATATCCTCCCTAGATGATAATGTTCTGCGAGCTTTGGTCGAAGAAAATCCCCAAAAAACTGTTCGAGAACTTGCAGAAAATATTTCAGTTAGAGAATCGACCTTCTTTTAACAGATGTCTGATAAACCATCTTAAGACAATTGGAAAGGTGAAAAAGCTCGAAAGTTGGGTTCCTCAAGCATTAAACGACCGCCAAAAAAAGTCATCGTTAGTTTGCGCAACACTTCTTTGCCGAAATAGAAACGAACCTTTTCTGATGAGAATTGTTGCTTGCGATGAAAAGTAGATAACAGTAGACGTTCTGGACAGTGGGTCTACATAAAAGAAGCAGCAACACAATTTCGAAAAAAGGTGACAATGAATCTTTGGTGGGCTTCATTTGGGCCGATTTACTACAGCTTCTTGAAACCTGGCGAAACAATTTTTTTCAAATTGAAGCAATGCACCAGAAATTGGCATTATTGATGTCATCTTTGGTCAATCGGAAATCTATTACACGACAAACGCTCGGAGCACAGAATTTCTTAATAAGAAAGACTCCAAATTCTATTCAGAGGGTGTAAAAAAGTTGCCATCACGTTGGAAGGAGTGTATTGAGAGTGATGGAGGGTATGTTAATAGATTTTAAAAAAATCATTTAATTATTTTTATTTTATAACCATAAACCTGAATTATTTTCCGCACAACCCATTAAGATTCTTCACGATTATTCCTACATAGTTTTTCAATAAAACGGAAAGTGATAAAACGTTGTAAAAACGTTGATTGAATTTTCACTGCGAAGGTTTGTCACTCCCCGAAGTGTTGACCCTATGGGTTATACTTCAGGGGAGTGCACGTATTCCGTTATGAGGCTGTGTCACTAGTATCTCCCTTAAGCTAGATGTCCCAGAGTTCGTTGTTTCTCAACCAAGGGGGTTGGGCTCCAACAGAGGATAGGTAGGTAATTTCAGCTCCTAACGCATGCACAATATACTCTAGGATAAAACTAACTTCTATAATAAAATCGCACAAATAAATACATTCACTCCTATGCACATTGCACTTTTTCTGATAAATCGATGCAGTACTCGATATTCCTCCATCGACCTACACAAATTATTAACAATCTAAATTAGGGTCGATGGCGGAATATTATAGAAATCCAACGTACTCCAAAAAGCTGAACAGGAAATCCAGAAAATCGCCACTGTGCCCGAGAACCATTCAAGAATTCGGCAGTATGCCTGCACGCTTATCGTTGAAAATATTGTAATAAAATCGTTCATTTCAATGAAATAGGTAACAATAAAACACGATTTAATTTCAAAAACCGAAAAGAGATAACCTTAATTACTTTATGCATCGTTTTTATGAGTAATCAATAAGTCAATTTTGTTTTTATACTAAATGCGATTATGAGTCTTAAAAGCGGTCTATGGGTTTGCTAAATGCTGGATTAAAAAATAACCCAGTTATAATAATAATAAATAATGTTTTATTTAACTATAAAGTGATCTAAAAAACCTTAAATAAAAAGAAATAACAATAGACTAGAGTCTATCCGTCGGAGATCATAATTTTTCAGGATTATTTATTTCTATAGTAGGTCTTAACAAAATCCCGGTCCCGAATTTCAGCAGAATAATAAAACCCATAAAAACCTAAATAAAATTTATATTTTGTTTTGTCAAAGATTTTATAAAAATAAAAAAGTGACACTTTGTTTACGTTTGATAAAGAAAGAGAAAGTGCACGACCGATGGTTCAGAACATATGAATAACGGACTTTCAAATAAGGTGAAAGGGAGGTCAGGCAGATTTACAACTCGGTTAACGGGTTGGATTCTTTTCTTCTTCTTTTTCTTTTTTTTGTAACAATTATGTCAATTAATGTATTAAACTGGCCAACAGTGGACAAAGTTAATCAAAGAGGTGTATTTTAAAATATTATCTCAAGAGTGTGATTAGATTAAGCGATTGATCGTGGGCAAAACAGTTTCTACAATGATGTCGAATAAGGTGATTGTATTTTGCTTCATCTTTCTATTTTTTCGGAAGGTAAAGTTAAAAGTTTATTTATTTGCTACAAGATACATATACTGAATAACGTCATTTCTTTCCTTTGTTAAGGAAAATTAATAAATTAAATATATACTCAAAGAGTTTAAACAAATGGATACTTGTATTTATATGTTTATTTTCCATAATAACTATGTAAAAAAATTTATAATTGGCTGAAAACGTCAACACAACATTAATAACATGTTTATAGACACTACTAAATACTTTATAGTTTTTCTATTCCTTTTATGATATTAGAAGAAAAATCTTTAAATAAGCAAAATTAATTCAAGTTCATCCTTTTCAGAGCCAATTTGTAGAATGAGTTAATTTGGTTTTTAAATGTTTACCTTTGATGAAAGAATAAATTTGAGTAAAACAAAATTATTAAGTCGGTTTTGAAACCATGGTTTTAAGTCGAGAAGATATTGCTCAGCAGATGCTTTGGCCAACGATGGACGTCCTAGTTGTGCCGCGTTCAATCTTTCACGATGTTCTACACCGGTTTAGGGACATCGGAATCTCGAAGGGAAGGTACTGGTCGGCCACATGTACGAAGGCTGGAGACGATCGTTTTATTGGTCCTACTGCACCACCGTCATCAAACGGCTTCCTTGATAGTCAACACCGATCCACACAAACGGTCCGTAATGTAAGAACTCAACAGACATCAGAAGTCTTGGACATAACGCATCTGGTTCTCTATATCGGAGAGGCATTGAGAAGAGAGGCAAATCACCATCTCGCTTGGGCACTTCAACAATGGGTGCTGTTCTCTTCTCACATGGGTGCCGGTTTGGTTTGTCGCAATCAGTATACCGGACCATGTGTGTAGAAGACGTGGCGAACGCTTTGCTTCATGTATCATGCGTCAGACGAGTCAGTAAGGTATGGGGTGGAATCGACGTCCATACCGGTACAACTTTTTATCATACAGAATGGAGGTTTGACTGCACTAAGGTTCATTGAGGAAGTTCTTCTAGATTGCTGCATTTGCTTATTATGGGTCAACTTCGTCTTAAAGCACAATCATACTCGACAGCATGTGTTGTATATAAGGATAATAGGAAGTGGGATTTGTGCTCCCCAGGCACTGCAGTCTTCTGGCTTATTGTTTTTTCCTAGTTCCTTAGTTCAGTGCAATAGATTCAATCCTTCTTCTTAGAAGTATCAGGTCATTGACTGTCGCTGTACAATTTCATTCCCTAGATTTTTTCATGTGTTAGGTCAAATCTCCATTGAACTGTTGCTTCGCATCCGAAAATGATATGGTTGGTTGTTTCCTCCTCCGCTTTATATAATCAGCAGATGGGGGTCATCATTGTACATGCCAATGTTTCGTAGGTGTTTTCACAGATGCCAGTGACTGGTTAGTAGTCCTATCACTCCTCTGAGTTTAGCCCTCTCCAATTGTAGCAGTGATTTTGCCCGTCTTGGTGAGGGTTGTTTTATCATAAGTTTATTATATCTAGCGCTGCTTGAATTTATCCATTTCTCCTTTTGTTTTGTTTGCTTTCTCGTTACCCAAAATACCTCTGTGCCTTGGCACCCAAGATTCAGGTTGTTGTGTTTCCCCAGGCTTCGGAGATTTTGGATGAATTCACTGACTAATTTTGATGAGATTTTTTTTTACGTGCTAATGCTTTAATGGCTCCTTGGATGTCAGATCCTATGAGGATTTTTTTTCCAGTGTAACCTCTTTTAAGATTTTTCTGGGCGCGTTGATGCATGTATTGAAAGACCAAAATGTACTTCCTTAATGAGTTTGATTGCGGGCTTGTACAGAAAATGCCTCGTTTGTTTTGGAGCCATCTGTATACCATATCATTGCATCTGATGCTCTCCTGTGTTCTTCTTGTCTGTTGATACTTTAAAGAATGTTGTAAAGAATGTTTCCGGCGACAGCATGTAACTCGAGTTGTCACCCATTACTCGGAAGTTGGTATGAATTGGCCAGCAGGTTCTCCTGACATGAATCCTATAGAACATTTATGAGACATCGTTCGACGCTTCCAAAAAGCATTGAACAACTTCAAACCATTCATGCTGAAAAATGGTATTATGTTTCCCAATATGAAATGTTAATTTACGTGATGCCTAAGTGACTTAAGGCCCTCCGCTAGGCCTGAGGAGTTAATGCGCTTTATTAAAAAGCAAACGAAGTAATAAATTGTTAATTACATTTTAATGCATCACTAAATGATTTTCCGCTATTTTGATTAATTTTCTTTCAAACCACCAAAATTAAATTTTTATTAAAACATGCATTTCTGATCTCGTTTAATTTTATTAACATGAAAATACTTATAATTTGAAAGAATGAAATGCGAGTGTCCCGTTTTTTTTTGTCTTTGAGTATATTAATCAAGCATAAATGAGTAACATTATAATTTCAGAGCACTGCAGACTCAAATCGTCCAGACGAATTAATAAATGCTATAAATGGTCAGTGGGGGGAATACGCAAGACTTTCTTCCTATTCGGTTCAAGTAGTACAAAATTGCAAAAGTAAAATTTAAAAATAAAAAAACAAACTCAGTTAAATGATATAATTTAAGGTTTCGATGGTCGTCTCGCATCTGGCGTATAAAATTAACAAGAATCTCTTCTCGGCTTCTGACATCGTTGGTAAAGAGGCGAAAACCATCGAGTACAACATGATGGCGATTTCTCATCAAATGCAAGTGGAAGACGTTCTCAAGTCGAGATGTATCAACGATCTCGGCATTCCAGAAGTTCTCAAAAGGAAGGATGAAGACGTTGAACACGCAGCTGCGTAGGTATACAAAATAAAGCACAGCTGGTTATCGACCTCGAATTCACAGGTGGTTGCTTCTTTGTACGACCGAGGTCTAAACCTCTTTCAAACCTTTAACCTACAGCATAAGATAAAAACGAGCCAAGATAATACATCGGAAGATTCCAGGATAAATTGCCAATTCCCCTAGCAACTATGCTAGAAATTTCATAAACATTAAATTATATATATTATGCTTTTGTACTTGACACCTTAATTTTAAATAATTAAGCTTAAAAACATTAATATATACATTCTGATTCACATTCTTGTCATTAAAAGTAGTGCAAGTGCGATACACAATGGTTGAAATTTTTCCATCTATACAGTTTTTTATTTTTTATTTTTGCATTACATGATTTTTTTCTATAGATAAACTTATTGTTTATTGCATGTTATTAGCAAAATCAGTATCACTTTTTAATCCTTACAGTACAAAACCACTGAAAAACTAACATATTAATTCTGTAACGTTTCATTGTCGTTCAATCCTTTTATTGTGCTAATTTATTAGGTATTTCATCTAGAAATGTGTGGTGATTAGTGATCGTTAATCGATATTTATTTAGAAATCGTGAGATGCGGTCTGGTGTGATGTAGGTTTCAGAAAAACTGGCACTCTCGACACGACACGCAAGAATGGCACAATTACACAGAAGACAAACACTTTGAGCCCTGAAGATGATCTCAATAAAGATCGAAACGTTGGCACGATAAAGAAAATGTTTTTCTGAAACCTACATCACACCATACCGAATCTCACGATTTCTAAATAAATTTCATCTAGAGTTTTCCTGAATTCGTCTTTTTTCTCTTTTCGGTTTACTACTGTTTTTATACTATAGTTTTTTTATTATGGAGTTTATTGTTAATTGTGTTGTTAGTTGTTTTTAAAGTATTCAATTGATCAGAACTTAATGTTATATTTTTGTTACGGCCAATAAACGTTTGTTTATTTAAGTAAGTTCGATCAATTTATGGCTATTTCAATTCGTATTTATACTATAATCAATACAAAATTTTCCGTTTGTGTAAATATTTTGTGTACTTATGAAAGTATTTTCGTGTTTCAAAGCCTGATCAGAACTTTGTTGAATTTGTCTTTACACGAACGCTGTTAGTACAATAAACTCATTTTGTTTGTTTACATTCGTTGTGCGTTAGGTGTATTGTTCAGAAAAGGTTCCGTTTATAAACTTCAGAGTATAAAAACCTTGAAAATAAACAAATGAACAAAAACAATGTTTTTGAACGTAGAACATCTCCTGTTTTAAAATACGCTTGTTCTATTAATTTTCTTCTCATAAAAGCATGTATTCCCAGTAGTCGATGATAAACTGTAAATGTAAGCAGGTGTGTATTCTCAAGTTACAGAGTATTCGGTGGATCAGAACTTTTAGATGTTTATTTTTTTCTCATATTTCAATTGTGTTAATTCTTTAAAATGTATTGTTGGGTTTTTCTTTACTCGACCCATGCGACCTAAGGTAGAATGAGCAGCTGTTGGTTCACATATTAATAATTATATTTTCATTATTTGTCTTTTTTTATATTCATCGTCACTCGACCTTTGTATGTCCAAAGTTGTCTGTCAAGTTTATCAAAGATTCCCTGTCGATTTGTCTGCAATTTCAACTTAACTTTAATTTCTATCAGTTTATGTGTGTCTGTCTTGTGTTGCTATTCATACATCCATTTTCCTGAGCAAACCGTTAATGATTAATTATTTATTTTTTTAATTTACGTTAACTATTTTTTAATCGTGTCCGTTTTAGCAAATTTTATGCTCTTTATTACTCCATGGCCGAATGGTTAGAGCATCTAACTCTATTGGTTCTGGGTTCGAATTACAGCATAGCCCATGGAATTTTAATTGAAAATAATATGGAAAAAAGTATTTTTAAGTTATTTAACCCCTGGACCGCGACCCGATTTATAGTTTAACGTAATACAGCTCTCCTGTTACTTAATTTCAATTACTTTATTTTACTTTCTCATTATTGAATTGTCTATCGTTTTTGTTATACTGCATTGAATGTTTATTTCAAATAAGTATTCTTTTTACATAAGGTTTTGGTTGAAATGATTCGAACCCACGACCTTCGGCTCGATGTGCCGCTGCTTGTGACTTGGTGACTGCTTGTGACCCCTTGAGCTATTGTGACTTGGTACATTGAAAGAAGTAATTTGGTCTATAGACTATTAAATATAATGGGTTTATTAAACATTTACGTGGTTTATTTTTGTGCTGGTTGTCAGCAGGGCAGATCAGTAACTATGAGTGTTGGAATCCTAACGTTGATTATGATGATGTCCAGAACAGAATTGTTGTTTTCTCTCTTCGGTGAAAAAGTTTTTATGAAATGTGTTAAGAACAATTCTATACTGTAAACTTAGTTTGTCCTCATTATATTTGTTGGTGAAAAAGAACGTAAAAGAAATTTCCAGGGGGGAAAGTGGGAATCGAACCCATGTCTACGAGTCTGACACGCTAACCACCGCGGCCGTCCCAGTCATTAGTACAAAAAATAATTAAAATTGAATCAATTAGTTTATAATTTTATATTATTGTTTTTATTGAGATGTAAGCGTTTGTTTTAAAAGTTTTGAATATATTCAAATTCATGTTATTGGCTGTGGATTGATCCAAATTATACTCCGGACTAAGCATTTTCAGATTATCATTATTTAAATACAAAATGCTTTAAAAAAATTGTAGCTAGAATAATAAAAAATGGTTAAGATTGGTTTAATCAGACTAAATAGCTTGGATTATTTATTGCTATCTAGAAATAACTTTTTAAAGAAACCAACCATAAATAAGATCCGGTTGTTTCGTCATGTCATTTAGAAGGATGTCCAGATTTTTCTCTTTGATTTTGTCTTACAATGTAAATTTTTTGTTTCAAACCCTAGAGGTATTCAGAAATGAATGACAAACGTCCATTCTTCTTACAGATGTTTCCTACTCGAGGCTAACAAAGGATTCGTCTTGGAGACTAGCCTGACAGGGGTGGTCAATGAATTTCGAGGTCGGATGATAAAAGGCATCAGAGCGTTGGAACGGTGCTCAACCAAGGAGACAAGTGCTTGTATAGCAAAAATAATAAAGGATAGCAAAGAGTCTGCGGAGATTCTTAGGAGAGAATTAAACACGCTCAAAGAGAAGATATTGATCTTGGAAGACAAGCTTCCTCGGACAATAGCCTCATGCAGGAGGCTCGCGTCAAAAAGTCTTTCCGTTCTCAGAAAACTTACTGAAACAATTAAAGCATGTTAGATAGTCTTTTAACCCTTTTGTCGGCACTTTATAATTAAGACTATTAAAGAAACAAAGAGGGCAAAAACGAAAATTATCACACATTTAAATTCTGTTCGTTTTATTTCTGTTATCGTTATTAACTACATAATATGACATAATTTATTCGTTTTTATTTATACGTTCATCATTCCTGCATCTTTCCACTTACGTTAAACAATATCCTGACGATATTATTCGAAATTCGTAAAAAGCCAGTCAAAAATAAAAAATATATTGAATGGTTTGTTTTAGGATCTAGGTCTGTTTGCTATCCGAAAAAAAACAGCTCCAAGAATCTCTTTACATGTTTATTCAATCATATGTATCGGACCGCCCTTTTCGTCCGTAATATGGAAATTCCCTTCCCCTCGTTGAATATTTAAAGGCAGTGTAAAGGTGTACCACAGGGTAGTTGTATTCAATTTTAACCTGCTCTTCTCGCTCACTATGCCGAATACGAAACTAGAATCTCACTCACATGTGCGATTCATGAAACAGAGCAAAGGATCTCATCCAAAATTTGGTTCAAAGTATGGAAAAACAGGCTGAATGTTTAGAAATTAAATTGCCAGGTTTTTATGGCATTACCCATAAAACAGTCCTTATAGTACACTATCATTATCATATACCTTGGGGTGACATTTGATTTTTTTTTAAATTGTATCTCATCTCAAGAACAGAGTTAGAAGAAGCGAAGCAGTAAGCAATGTTATTTTCTATTTTGTCAATTGTCTATCTATCCTGCTGGTAAAATATTTGCCATCTATAGGGTTGCCCTTCCCAGTTGACCTTTATGTCGATTGCAGATTGTGTAGAACAAGTTCTTCCTTATCTCTACGAATTCCCCAATCTGTACTAAGTTACCTGCTCTTTGGCGTATCAACCAATAAGGAAATAAGGATCTGTCAATCAAAAGGTTCTGCCATCTGAACCAACTGACCATTGACCGTAAGGGTATACGACGGTCACTACAGTCATAGGAGGTTAAGCTTATGTCACTAAGACAACATCCTGATACAAGGGTTTTTATAATTTCCCCTTAATTTCAATTGTAAATAAGGAAGAGACACCTTAAGCTGAGACTCCTTCGTAAACAGTACGCAAATATTGTAAACTAACGGTAATAAACTATTCTATATTACGGAGAATTGAACCAAATAGCACGGTATAAAGGAAAATCAGTGTGGCCAAAGATTTGCTATAAATTATGATCCTTTATACTCATCACAAGGATTAAATGCATTGCGTGTGCATTAGGTAATGGATAAGGTAAAGGTAAAACTGAATTACAAGATAAAGCTAATGTAATTTCCAGAAATTCATGTATAAATATACATATCCTCAGGCCCCCAAGCATCATTGAAGACTTTTGACTCCAACTTAACTCACAGCTCCTGAGAAAACACAATCACTCCGTTGTGGTGCCAAGTTTCGAGGGGGGGGGGATAATAAACTGGCTGACAACCTAGCAAAAGAAGCAGCAGCCCACACACCTTTTGGAATGGTACGGCACAGGTCAAAAGCTAAACGTGGAACTGAACAAATAGCTGGAGAAAGAAATGGCCGTACACTGGATAAATTCATCAGGTGCCAGGTAAGGAAAATAATAGGCCTGTATACTGGCTATTGCCCATTTAATTACCGCCTTAAAAACAATGAGCAAACTGAGACATAAACTGGCCTAATCTACCATGAAACAGCAGGGATATCGGAATCCTATGTGACTGCAAAGCCCGAAAATAGTCAAAAACAACATAGAACAACATAATACTTAAAAAACAACTAGGCATAAAATGAAATTAACTTAAAAGTGCAAAGAAGGGCGCGGTAAGGCACAAGGAAAAGTCGCCCTCGTTAACAAATTCTTTTGAATAAAAATAATGTTTAAGGGGAGGATGGTTCATACTAAAATTAATTGGTCATGAAGATGAAAGATAGAAACATGTAAGTTAATAAAACAAACTTAAGATTTTAAAACTTATATCGATTAAAAGGCATGAGTTTGTTCTACATCATGAAAAACAATCACAAGCACCCTCGGTAACAGCTTATGCACGAAAACGTTTACACTTGATGGTTAACTTATGTTAAAGTCGACATCTCTGGCTCGACTAGTACTGCATGGATTTTTATACTGTTCCATGGTTCACACTTGCAAATTTTATTTTCCTTTTATCTGCCTTGTGAAAAGTATATTAAATGAAGTATTATGAAAACAAAAGCCTTAAAATTAAATTAGCAAGCTAAAACAAGAATATAGAAGGGGCAAAAAGAAAGGGTACTGGCCAAACATGCTAAATCAATATTTGAATTTTATTGCGAAAAATATAATTAACTATAGATGATCAAAGGGGGTAGGTTCAATTGAAAATATTACAGGGGGATGACTAACGTAGACTTTGATATTTAAAAGCGAACATTTATCGAAAGTGCTTTGAGAGGTTTGCTATACAATATGCTTTGTTGTATCTATCACCCTGTAAAGTTTTGCATAAATCTGTTCATGAACAAGAACGTTTGCACATATCAACAGAAAAGTAGTATTAAGACTCTTATTATTATGACAATATTGCCCTAGTTTGATTGTTGTTACATCACACATAATTTTCAATTCGTTTTATATTCGGCGTCATGTCATCACAAAGTGATGACCGGTGACTTTTGCATTAAGTACCTGTGAAAAATTAGGATGATGGATAATATAAAAACAACGTAACGTTCAACTAGCCCGCCAAGATAAGAAATATAGAAAAGGCGAAAATAAAACTTAAAGCTCAGAAATCAGTCGAATTTGGGTGAGACAATAAATCTAATTGATTGTGAACGGTCCTTGTCAAAAGGGGTAGGTTTAATTAACATTAAAGGGGTTGATGATTGACGTGGACTTTGCTATTATAAAGCGAAGTTTTGGAAGTGATCTCAGTGTTTTGGTATACAATCTGCTTTACTTTATCAATCATTCTCATAAATCATAAATCTGTTAATGCACAAGATAGCTTGCATTTTCCAACAGTCAACTCGTGTTTTAGACTTTTTGTCTCTAGTTCAACTAGTACTGCATGAATATTTTTGTTGTTTCATGAATCAAAAACTATCATTTGCAGTTCGTATTGGTGTTGACAAATTTTCATTGAGTGCCTTGTGAAAAGCTAGATTAAATATTTTATAAAATATCTGTCATAATTTAAATTAACCAAGCCAAGGCAACGAAATATGGAAAGACCAGATATCAGATATAATAGATAAGACCTAAATCAGTCGAATTTTATTGAGAATATAAATCTAATTGGCTGTGGATGCTTCACGTCAAACGGTTGATTTAATTAAAATACATTAAAGTGGCTTGATTGACGCGGATTTCGTTGATATTGAAGCGAAATTTTATTAGAATTCATGTGACAGTTTTGCTGTACCACCTGCTCGCCTTTTATCAATCTCGTGTTACTAATTTTTGTATAAGATATATGTAAAAAAATGTTAAGACGAGATATGAATTCAAACTTTTAACATTTCGTTAATGGTTAACAAGTTTGTGTTTTACATGAAGTTACAAGTTGACGAATCACAACTAGTGGGGTTTCGTATATAAAAATGAAATTAGCCGACACAAACACGCTAAAAATAAAACGGATGTGATAATGGACAATATGAAAAGGTCAGACATAGCTTAAATCTTGTTTAAAAGACGATAGGATCTTCTTATTGTAGTTTAAAGGAAAATAGTTTGTTAGGAAAAAATTTATAACTTTTTAGTAAAAATTAAGGCAATAGAAAGACCCAGATTGTCTTTTCAAAGCTAGAATAAAATATCTATGTCGATAATTTAAGTCAGGAAAACATTGTAGTATTGTTATAAAAAGTCTGGAAAAATAGTGCCAAAAAATGAATTACAAATTCAGATCAATATCGTTAAGGAGGAGATAAATGGAAACAACTTCTGGTCAATTTCTTGAGATGCTTTTATTATAGAATTAAGACAAAGATTGTTCTTAAATTTGAACCTGGACATGAAATTTTAATAAATGTTCTTAAAGCCAATTTTAACTACAAAAAAAAACCCTAGGAACAATATAGCTTAAACCAAATTTCACACGACAAATTATTAAACAAAAAGCAAAAAAAAAAAAATGTTTATGTACGGAAGTCGACCGTGCATTTAATAGGACAAATGATATCTGAAAGTTGAGTTTACCACAAATACTCGTACTACTTAATAGGCTTTGCACCTGTTCTGAATTCTAGCGCTCCGCAGTGGCAAAAAAACCACCATTTGTACGGGCTTCAGCCTGAAGTGCTTAGGATTAAGAGAATGGCTGCAGGGTTAGATTAGATTAAGATTAGATTGTAAGAGGGCGGAGAATTTTGATGAGCCTGATTAAGTTTGATGGCGGAAGCGAGTTTTTTTTAAGTTTCTTTTTTTGGCATGTAATTCGATAAAAATCGATCTTTCTAATCTAACTTTCTAAGTATGAACTCTTGTCAAAAATAATTTTTAATAATTATAAAAGGTTAAAGTTTGAATATGAAACAAATCCATGGACTTAAAAGCAACAATATTTCTGTAAAATAAAATGGGCTAATATTGTAGTGAACATTGTGAGGTTTTACCAGTTAGAAGTTAATTGGATCCACGTTTTCCACTCGGAAAACATGTGAAGTAGGTTTGCTAATGAACAAGTATCAAATGGTGAGTTTAATTAAACAAAAAGTCCGCATTCATCTTGACAGGGCTTAAAACTTAGAGACGAAAGTGCCACCAGTTAAACTGCATTAATCTGACACAGCCAGGGAAAACAAATATTGTAAAAACATATCTTTTTTGAGATAGGATAAATATTTATTCTTAAATTATTTCCCACCCCATCTTTCCAACAGGAACAAAAGGAATCGATAGCATATAAAAAGGAATATTTTCACAAACGTTTCTAAAACCAGCCTATATTTAAGACTTGGCAGTGTAAAATAAACTTTTGTTAAGTTTTTTTGAAGAGTAAAAGCTTAGAATATCAACGAACATTAACTAAAATAGTAATTGGAAAACTATAGATTATAAAAATACAGACAAAATCTACTTACGTTTTTTTCTAAATTTATTTTATCATTCCAGTTTATCCCTAGTAATCAAATAGATCTGACTCACCTGTGCTATACGGATGACTGTATTCTTTGTCCGGTGTCGTATATAATTTCGTGCTGACGTCTACCCCGGGCTCAAGATAAGCCTTGGAGTCTTGAGGGTCGCAGTAGAACTCTACAAATTCGACCTGGAAGTTCAAAAAAGAAAAATTATGGCAGCTGTAGCTTTTAAATGTCCTGAAAGTGTATGCATAGAAGTAATTTTTCATTCTCAAACAACACAATGCTATTGCGCCCAGGGTAATTGGTACTGAGAAGTATCTGGATAATGAAACGGGGCGAAAGAACCGATTTTAATGGTTGATTAATTAATGATTTTTTCATTTCCGTAAGGTTGTATAACTGCAGAAACAAGGTTTAAAATTAAAAATTAATTAAGTTCGCATGAAAGTGTAAATAATTTGTCTGTAAATACTTAATGTTAACTGCTGTAGATCTTTGCAAAGCATTACAAAAACATGTATTTAACAAATAAAAAAAGAGAAAAAATCAAGGTGAAACACACACACACACACACACAAAAAACACTCTCCTTGTCTATCTCATCTATCTATCTCTCTATTTCTATCACTTTCTCTACGTAGCTTTCTATTGCTCTCTCTGTCTCTGTCTCTCACACTCTCTCTCTCTCTTTGCCTCTCGCTCTCTCTCTCAGTCTATCTACCCATCTATGTAAACATTATCTATCAGTTTCGTTATCTAACCTTCATCTCTCTCTCTCTCTCTCTCTCTCGCACTCACTCCCACACTCTTCTCTTTCTCTCACTCTCACTTTTTCTCACGCTCTTCTCTCTCTCACCCCCTCTCTCTCTCGTTCGCACTCAGTCCAGCACTTCACTCACTCACTCACTCTTTCTCCTCTCTCTCGCTCGCACTCACTCACTCTCACTCTTTCTCCTCTCTCTCGCTCGCACTCACTCACTCTCACTCTTTCTCCTCTCTCTCTCTCTTTCTTTCTTTCTCGCTCGCATTCACTCACTCTCTCTTTCTATTCTCTCTCTCTTTTTCTTTACTCTTAATTGTAATTGAGGTCGTTATAATTTCTGTATTTTTTTAAAGAGAACGATAAGAGCACTTTCATGCATTCATTTATTCAATTTCTCTCTCTCACTCTCTCTCATTCACTCACACACTCACTCATTTAAGTGAGGAAGAGAGAAGAATAAGTGTTGACCAATTCATTCCGATTAGTTGATCATTGCGTAGAAAAATATTAAAGGAGATGCTAATATTATCTTGAGCAGCCAAGATGTATTGGGGGATAGGCTCCGAAGTTTTACTTATTATTTACAAACATATTGCTATCTATTCTAACATATGCTGTCCTCGTTTAGCAGTAGGTTCTACTTGCATCACAAGATAAAAGCCTAGAGATTATTTCTATCAAGAATTATAATGTGCTTTTGGATTATTTTGTACCAAGTGGCACATGGTGTAGCACACTTAAAGCGGAGAAAATTTCTAGAAGGTTCTTCATAGGACGAGGACTCGTGCAGGAATGGAATGCAAGGGTAAAATCAGATTGGATCCTAAGGAACTGAGAACTTGGCAGAGAGAACCGTAGAGTACATTGATGACAGCGGTATAAATAATCAGGTGGAATATGCTTTATTTAAAAAATCATTCAAAATTATGGCTAGGCTTCTTAGGTTTTTTTCTTTATTCGCAAATATTACGCATATTTATGTATGCTATGTACATTGCTGTTGAGCTGAAAATGAAAAACAAAATACCTCATGTCTCATTAATTAATAGGCTTAATTTTGACCCATTAATAGGATACTTTGGTAATGAAGAATACAACTTTGTGATTTAAATGGTAATAACTTTGAACTTACATTTTCTAAATGAGGAGAGGATTTGTCCCAAGCTATGGAAGATCCGATGCTAAGTGGGCGTGATTTGTTGACAAAGTCGACAGGAAAGCTGTAGTCATCACATAATGACACCTAAAATAAAACATATATAAATAAAGCAAAATCAAAAATATGTTTTTTTGATCAAATATAGATCGATGTACATATTGCTTAAGCAAACAGAGCATTTTCCTAATCGTTTAGGCCATCTGTAACACGTGGAACGGGCCGACTCGCTGGACTCATGTCGATACTCAGAAGTCGTTAAGTTTAAGTGCCGGCTTTTGTAGAAGGGAGACCTATTGAGTGGAACAGAAGGGGAGTCGAACAATTAAGGATTTCTATGAATTTCAAGAGTCATCGGCTACTAAAGGATGTATTATCCCCCTTCCGATATTAAGCCATTCAACACTTTTCTGATTTAATAAATTGCTAAATTGTTAAAACGAAAATATGCTGGATAAAAATCTTAAGAAGTATTATCAATTGCAAAACTTCTAATTTTGTGCTAATTAGAAAAATCATATACAAAATATTGAATTTGGGTTAAACAAGAAATTAATTTGAAACATGTTTTATCTCTAAATTGGCCAGAAATGTTAACTTTTAATTAATTCAATTTTGTACAAAAATAAAAAATATCTCATATTTTACAAGGTTGACAATATAACGCTTCACTGTTTAATTATTTTTACTATTGCAAAGAAACTTTATTTAATTTATTTGTATATATGACTATTGTGTTTTAAATAATAGCCTGCAATAGAACATATGAAGATGATGAGAATAAAGAAGCGGGAATTTGGTATTCCCCAAGCACTAAAGCTTTTTGGCTTATTGTACTTTTCATAGTTCCTTGGTTCAGTTTAATTGACTCGATCCTTCTTTCAAGGAGTAGAAGGTCATTGACTGACATCCTTTTTCCCGGGGTTTCTTCATACCGTATTCTACCTCTCCATTTCTTCTTTTGTTTTGTGTGAATCTATTCTGAGTTGGAGGAGTATGTTTGATCAATTATAGGTTCTGGGCCTATAGCTGAGAACTTGCAGATCCTCCAGTGGCCAGTTTGCCAGGTTGCTCATTACCAAAAATTCCTTTGTGCACCCAAGGATGCATTCAACGAATCTTTTGGACGTGAAACTTTTACGTGCTGCTTTTAAGGATGTTTCGTTGCCTGATCTAATAAGGATTATGTTGTCAATAAGCTCTTTTAAGATTTTCTATGTATTTCAGCTTTCCACTTCTCTTATGAGATTGAGTGCTCAAATTTTGGTCTTGTGCAGAATATACCTGACCTATGATTGGTTTTGTATTCAATTCTATATAGTACATTTGCATTTGTATTGTTCTATCCATTTGTAGCCCGATATAGTCTCCATTTCAAGGAATTGCCCGAAATACTCTGTCCTATGCAATTTGTAGGTTTCTGAAGCCTGTACAAACTTTCCCTACCTTTTACCTTTCTTCTTGTATACATGTTTCTAATTGAGGGGATGTAATAATACTTATAGTAGCTGAACTATGAAATGTCACAATATTTTTGACTGTTATTATGAAAAAGCATGAAACAACGGCCATCAACGATGAACAGGTGAGTCAACAGGCACATCCTATATAACATAAAACCTCTTGTTTAATTATAATTTTTGTATAAAAACGATCAGGGTGACGCCAATTTGTAGTAAAATCCTCGATACCTATGACGACTTTTCGAGGAATATACCCATTCATCAGGGCTATAAAAATGTAATTACTATCAACCTATAACATTACACTATTCTTAATTTTGATAAAAACAAGAAATTGTAAATTATAATAAACTAAAACAAAATATCAAAACCAGTGATTGATTATGACAATAGTAATATATAAATGGTTAGTTTAATTTAAAATTAATTAACTTTAACCCACTATCTGTTATGTACATACAATCTGTGCATACATAATAAACATTCGACAAAAGTGACAGAGTTGCTAAAATAAGTTAATGTGAATTTTGTTTTTAAGTCTAAATGCTATTCTTTGACCTTTTGCAGCGAGTCTTTTAGCTTTTGTTCTTAAAGGACGTCAAAGCTATTTTCACTTTTTAATTTCCGTACCCAAAATATGAAGTGGGTCATGTTTTTGTCATATAATTCCCAAGGTACACGTATTTCTCATGCAATTACCAACGGAGAGAGTTCCATTTGAACACCGTACTTGAAAAAAAAAATCATTAATCTTAGATACAGAAGGTTTCTATTGATTCTGGCACGTGTTGTGCAATTTGTCGTAAATAAGGAGTACGTCTGAAGTGTTGTAAGACCCTCAAGCCAATTATTTCAGAGATTCTTTTGGAGAAAAAAAAATTAATACAGACTTTATCAATAGAAATCGAAACAGATTCATAAATATTATTAGAGAGTTTTGAAAATCATTTCACAGTTTATATAACAAAACCTTGTAATTACAGTTTGAACAAAGTGAAAGCCATGCCTGGTCGTAAATAGTAAATGTAATAACGAAAGTAATAAATCATAGAAACGAGTTTTTCTGCATTATTTTTAGGAAAAGCATACAACTCGAACTATAAAATAAATGTCCGAATAGTTTAGATTCATGGAAAGATTTAGATTTATTCATCATTTTTTTTAAAAGTAATCAATTTTCCCTAAGAAAACAATTGTTTGTAAAGAAATGTCATTGATTATTACTTTATTGAAGTCAAGGTTAATTAAAGGAGGAATTAGAAGGGCATTAAAGTTTATTTAGGGCAAAAGAAGCAGTGATCATCAGGGCTTCAGTGTTTCAAATTTCTTAGATGTTCTTGGTTCGAATCTTACCTACCCATTGAAATTCTTCGACCGTAATTTAAAACCGTACTCTGGTAACCCAAATTGTTTTGTTAAAAAAATCTTACAAATCGAACTATTGAATGGATGTAGGATCAGTTCTGACTCATAGTAGGTTTGAAACTTATCCATCATCTTTAAAAAAGTAATCAGTTTTCCCTCAGAACCCTATTGTATGTAAGGAAACTTGACTGATTATTTACGTAATTAAGTCAGGATTAGTTGAAATAAAGGCTATTAAAGCTTATTTAAGATAGAAGAAGATGATCATTAGGGATTTAGGACCTCAAATTCGCAGAGATCCTGGGTTTGAATCTTAGCTTCCCTTCAGAATTATCTGAGCCTTCATAACTTCTATAAGTGTCAAACTGTATGATAATCCAAATTATTTTTTACAAAGATTATACTACTTGATTAAATAACTGTCATTCATGTTAAATTTTAGACATCCACAATCTTAAAAAGTATAAAAAAGTGTCCCCTCAGAACACTATTCTAAAGAAATCTGACAGATTATTAAAATATTCAAATCAGGGTTAATTAAAATAAATAAATAATTAAAGTTTATTTAAAATGAGAAAAAATATGATCTGGGCTTTAACGTCTTAAATTTCTCTGAGGTCCTGGGTTCGAATTTTAGCTTACCCCTTGCGGTTCTCTGACCCCCGTGACGTCTATAAATTTAAAATTGTACTCTGCTAACCTAAATATATTTTAGAAAAATCTTAAAACTCTAACTATTAATCCCTGAGGATACAATCGTTTCTAAGAAAAGTTGACTTATTCTGAAGGTGTTTTGAATCTATTATTTCTCAAGGGGTCTTGGCATCGAATCCCAGCTTGGGCCTTGCAATTTTCTGAACCCTCGTGATATATTGGCATAAAACTGTCAACCCAAATAACCAAAGGCTATTTAAAAAATAAAATAAAATAAAAATACTTACCTTTGAATATATTATATAGTGGTAGCGTGTTAACATATCTAGTTTAGTTTTGATAGACGTGATGTAACTGAATCTTTAGTTCACTATTAACATTGTCAACCATAAAACGTTTTTCTTTAAAACTCTTAGACGATAAAAGGTCTTGTTCTTAAGAGGATAAAGAAACTCTGACCAAATGAAAAATCGTATCACTTTATTTGGAGACTTGAGGAAATGAGACAAGAGAAGACAACTTAGATGAAACGCTTGGGAGCGACTGGCCCATCGATTCTCATCAACTCTTAGAAATAAGCGGTGGATCTCTGGGCAATAAAGAATCCGATGAGTCGCAAGAGGAATCAAGGAGAGGAAATTCCATCCCGACAAGGATGTTTACATTGACAAGAAACCACACCCAACTTAATAGGAAATCGGCTTACATATAACATATGGTGGTCAACATGAAATATGTTATATATAAAAGTCAAACTTTATAGAAAAAAATAATATATTTATGTATGTACTTTATTTTTATCAATTGTTGACAATCACAAGAAGACCTAAATTTAATTTTTTTTTAAAATTTTAATCAATTTAATATATTCGTGACGAGAAAATTTGTTGTCTTACAATTTCTGTTATTTATTCAACATAAGACGCGGGGGAAAGTAAAACAGATGAACACAATGACAGAAGACGTGAATTTACAAGAACACTGGGTAAAATTATTAAAATATCTCCTTTTCCACCTTCCCATTAAATTAAACAGCCAAGTTCATTTGAATGCTTTGTCCAAAAAGGAAAATTGAAATAAAGCCTGTTACGAATTTTAATGAGCCGACTTAATCCGTAGAAGAAAGGATTCTAAAAGGATCAAACAAGAAAGGTTAAGGAGAAAAGAGAACAATCCAATGTTCGGACCACACACTATATTGAGTCACTGATTCTTGGGACAACGAGAAAAACTTTTTTTTTTCTTTTGATATGTAAATAGATTTTAAGACATCGTCTAAAGATATGCATCAGTGATCCTAAGATATTTAAAAATATTTAAAAGAGGCACGAACTTGTCTTATGTTCTTTATAAACATTTGTACTTTTTTTTCAAGAATGAATAATATTTGATGAAGTACTGAATAATAATGCACGGAAGTTTTAAGGGGTTTGGGGAAAAAGATACAAATGGAAATACAGCTACCGTTTTATTTATATTTAATGGAACTTTGGTTAACACTAGGGATATCTGAAGAGTGGATTCAGATAAAAATTATTTAAACCAACTTTACAAATCAACGGTAAAAAGTTCAACTAATAAGGCTAAAACTTGATCAAAAGCAGC